CAAGTGCGGGAGTCTGCAGCTTGTGAACCTGGCGAGCACAAAGCCCGGCACTTCATCTGCTCCATTTACCATAAACGCACATGAGAGCGACGTGGCCCGTGTGTCCCTAAACCAGCCAGACACCGTAGTGGCCTCGGCCTTCCGGAAGGACACCCTTATTCGTCTTTTGGACACACAGTCCAAGGAAAAACGGATGGAACTGGGCCGAGGCACTGACTCCGTCACACTCTACTGCATCACCTTCAGCCAGGACCCCTCCTTCCTGTGCGCTTCCAGTGACAAGGCCTCGGTCATACCTTCGCTCTCCGGGACACCGCCTCGACCGCCGCTCTGCGCAGGCTCGCCTGGGCCAGGCCAGGCTTGTGATCGGCCAGTCCGTGGCCTCTCAGTGGAGCCTGGCGAGTCCCCGGTGCCTGCCGAGCCAGCCTGCGTCTGCACCTTCGGTGGCAGCCCGTCTAAGGACGTCAGCTCTATTGCCATCTGTGTAGACGGGATCTTCCACCGATACGGCTTCCCTCCTGATGGAAACTGCAACAGAGGCTTTCGATGTGTACCCTACATCTCTGACGATGATGACTTTTCAGGCGCCTGTGGGTTGTGCTAGGGACCTGCAGTGGCAAAGTGCAAGGCATTTATGGGGGTGGGCGTGCTGGAAGCAACCAGCCAGAAGCACTATGGGGCAGGTGCCCACTTTCCACCCCGCAAAGCCATGCCTAACAGCTCATTTCTCCCAAGCACTTCTTGATGATTGTGTCCTTAAGGACTGTGTGCCCACAGGGCCAGGCCAGGGACCCAGAGGGGCAGCATATGCTCTGGGGCTCCCAACTTGGAGAGGAGTACTAGGGACCCAGAGGAAGTGCCCTAATCCAACCTGTGGGGATTTAAAAAAACTTCCCAGAAAGAGCCAATCTCTGATATGATGAATTTGACTAAAAAGGCCTAAATAGTAAAAAAAAGAAAAGAATATGCCATTGCCTCCCTCACACCCACCATCCATCCACCAAAAGACTGTGTCCCCATCACTCCAGACTGCTGTCTAATGTAGCCTTTTCCTCACAGCTTTGCTTTCCTCCCGATGTGCAAACACCTGCACTCCCCCTTTTGTGTCAATTTGATTTCTCAAGTGCTGGCTATGTGCGTTGCTGCTGTATTAGACGCAGCCGTGTTATATGCAGGTGGGCTGACGGGCTGAGGGAGGTGAGAGCCACGCACACTGGATGCTGTGTGTGGGAGCCGTGTTAGGGCAGGGCCGTTCTTTGTGCCAGCCACTTCCCTGGCCTCACACTCGAACCTAAAGAACCTGAGAAGCTGTCCAGATCAGACCTTGCCCTCTTGCTTTTCTCCACGAAGGGCCCAAGACGGGTATGTGGTGACTTTACGTTGGCCTGTTTTTGTGGAAACAGGCTGGAGCTGGGAAATACAGAATCTAGTGGGGCTGGGACTTCACACAATTTCTAAATTGTGTGTCGATGTCTCTTGTAGTTTTGCAGTCTCGATGTCTATTTTCTTGTTGTTCTCCCTGTGTTTAGAATAAACGCCTTAGGCCCTGGCTGGTTTGGCTCAGCGGTAAGAGCGTTGGTCTGCGGTCCGGAGAGACCCGGGTTCAGTTCCCGCTAAGGGCATGTACCTCGGTTGCAGTTTGTCCCCGGCCCTGGTTGGTCGAGCGGGTGGCAGCCACTCGATGTGTCCCTTTCACGTTGATGTTTCTCTCTCTCCCTCCCACTCTATCTGTAAAAAAAAAAAAAAAAATAGAATAAACGCCTTAGAAAGTTTGTTTTTTTCCTAGTGTGACAAAATCAATCAATCAATCAAAGACAGAGAGCACAGGCGTTTATGTCCATATTTGTATTTGTAACAGAGGCTTAAAGAAGACAGTCCACCCCTGAGGGCCAGCATGATAATCAGTCAAGTTAGTGACCCTGAGAGGATATAAAGGCAGAGGGAGGCTCTCCTTCCAGAGGTAAAGGGTGGGATATCTGAATTTCACTTAGGGAAGGAGGCAGCACTACCCTGCCAGGGTATGCACTGCTGACTCTTTTTATCACCTACTTGGTTATCCCAGGGAAACCTCCATAAATAGTGCGCGTTATTGATCTTTTTCTGCTTATTTTTTGTTTCATGCTGCTAGGCACTCATAAGCAGTAAGAACGAGAAAGGAATTTGCTTCTTCATTTTAGTAAAGATAGCCAAGCCATTATCCTATGAGTTCTGGGCTGCTTTTCCTGTGAAGTTGTTCCTTCATTCATTTCATATATATTTAATTAATTAATTAATTAATTAATTGAGCATCTACTATCAGGCACTGTGAGGTGCTGGAAATATCATAGTGAGAAACAAACAAAAGGGTCACCTTCCGGAGCTTATGGTGGAAGAGAGAAAATTTAATCAAGGAAACAGAAATATATTTGATATTTGACTGGGAAAACTGCTATGGTGCTGTAAGAACCTGCATCAGGGACAAAGGACCTCACTTAGTGGGAATAGGGTGGTCAGAGAAGGCGTCCTTGAGGAAGTGACCAATGAGCTGAGACTGGAAGGATGAGAGGAGTTATTATGGAGAAAATGGGAAAAGAATATTCCAGGAAGAGGGGACAGCTTTTGCTTTGGAAGGACAAGGACATAAAAAATTAAGCTAGACTTGCTTGAAAGATGGAAAGAATGGTGGCTGATGCTTCAAGAAGAGGATGTAGACTGACACTTGTGAGGAAGACTCAGCTCTTCCGAGCCCAGAAGAAACGAAGAGGTTGAAGAGGGATGTGGTGGGTAGCTGTGGGTGGTGGACTCCTGGACCTTGATGGAATGCAACACCTCAGAGGTGGCCCAACTGTGAAGGACAGACAATAGGGCAATAAAACAAAAGAACACACAGCTAAAGTACTGTGAAAACTTGTAGTTAAAAAATTTCCCACTTGGTAGACCTTGCCCTGGACCCTAAGAGGATTACAGCAACTATATAGGAGGGAAGGAGATGGGCATCAGCCAGAGCTGACCACTATATTATGCAAACAGAACTGCTTACCCCTCAGGCATAATGGCTAACTGTAGATATCCTCTTCTGCACATGCTTGCTTGCTCGCAGACCCTTAGCCCAATTTCTTAACAGGGGCTAAGACAACTATATAAGCAACCCTCCTCCTGAACTCGGGGCTGCTCTCTCCTCTGCGTAGGATGGAACAGTGGCCACGCGGCTAATAAAGCTCTCTTAATTTGAACCCAGTTCGGAGTCTGAGCCTGGTCTATCTCATTGGTCTACAACACAACTTGTGGGTGGTAACAGTGGGCCACATATTGGTCCTTCAGACCATAGAAGGTTGCAGTGAGGGCACTGGGCCTCCCCCACTCCCTGCCCCCCCCCAGTATTTGAATGAAGGAAAGGGTTAACACTTGATGGTTAATATCATATGTACAAAAAAAAGCAATGGAACAATAATACTTTAATAAGAGGCAGTATATGTGAGGTGTCAGGCCGAGTTCAAATCCCAAACTCTACCATTCAAGAGCTTTTCTGTGTGGGCACGGAACTTCGTGGGCCTTAGTTTCCCCACTTGTAAAGTAGGGGTAACAAAATCTGTTTTATCAAATGGTGGATAATTTAATTAATTGGTTAAGACATGTTAAGTTTTTGGAAGTGTCTGGCACAAAGTAAGTTCCACATACATATTAGGGAGGAAAATAGCTGCCAGTATGTGTGAGGTCCTCCTCCAATTTTCTTGGACTCTGTAAGCTCCTGAGGGGCCTAGGGGGGTAGGGGCAAGAGGGGTTCCAAAGTGGGCTGAATTTCCAGCCAAACTGTGGGAAGTGGTTGAAGTTTGGGGAAACAAATGTTAATGTAACATTTTTTGCACCCAAGTTCTCAGACCACCGCTCTTTCGGATCCACTGGCAGGCCCCAAAGCAATTCCGTTCAGGCTAGCCAGAATCAAATAAAAAGAAAGAAGTCCGATTTTAGGAGTCGCCGAGTCCTAGAGGTCCTGAAACGGTTTCCCTCGGACGCCCGGGTAAGAATCTCAGCACCAGCACGCAGGTTTGGTGGGCTACCTGGGACCCCAGTGAACCACCATGGGAAAATGAATGTCTCGGAAAGCCACATTTCAAATGCCCTGTCCTGATCTGTGCGATCCAGATGCAGGCCCCCCTGGAAAGTAGGTAGTGATTCACGACATATCTGGGAAGCTCACAGAGACAAGGTAAGGCGCTGCCCCCTCCCCCGCTCCGCCGTCTCCCAAAGAGAGAAAAGTAAAGAAACAGATGTTAATGATGAACAAGACCAGGACCGGCGCCCCGCTCGGGAGCCCGACCAGCTCTGAGTCTCCGGCAGGGGTCGCTGCAGCCCGGGCCGCTCCGCCCCGCCCCGCCCCACGGCCTCCGCGCTCGCCCCCGCGCCTGGGGCGCTGCCGCCGCCCTTGCAGCCTCCCGCAGGTGCGTCTCCGCCTGGGCTGGGGTCTCCACCGCCCCCAGCTGCCGCCGGGGGTCCCCGCCGACCACGCGCTCCGCCGGGCTGCGCCCTACGGCAGGTGCGGACCCGGGCGGGGCGGGGCGCGCATGCGCGGCCCAGGCTCTTCCCCGGAGTTCCGGGGCTCCCGGCGTCGGCGGTTGGGCTGGGGGCAGGCGGGTGCGGGGAGCGGAGCGGGCCCGGCCTCTGCGGGACGGCCCTAGGACCCCCGGCCGGCAGCAGCACGTGCAGAGGCGCGAGGCCCGGTGCCCTCCGGCCCAGCACGGGGGCAGCTGCAGCCGGAGAAGCGAGGGAGAGGGCAGGAACCCCCGGAGCAGGGGGCCTGGTGGCCGCCGAGAAGGGGCAGCCCCGGGAGGGCTCCAAGCAGGGCACGCGGCCCGGGCGGCAGATGAGGGCGGCCTGGGGCGGCGTGGTGGCGGCGGGCGCGGGAGGAGGGGTCGGATTCGGGACGCGGTTTACAGGTGCCGCCGTCAGGACCCGCAGCGGCCTGGCTGTGGGGTGTGGGATGAGAGAGAGAAGCCAGGGCAAGGAGGGTGGTGCCCCAGGCCTTGCGGGTCGAGGGTGCCGGGCACGTTCCGGAGCCCAGGCCGGGCGGTGAGTGGGAACGGCCTTTCGGACCGTGGAGGGGCAGTGCTGCCTGGAGCCCTGGCAGGATGGGCATCAGAGAACGAGGTGGAAAGTCAGGCGAGGGTGTCCACTGGAAGCAGCAGGAGTTTCCCCAGAGGAAAGATCATCAAATGGGTCGGAGGCTGGACGGAATCAAGGTTGCAAGGTGGATGGAGGTTGCTTGTGACCTTGACCAGAGCACGTGGCAGAGGGAGGGGAATGAGCCAGTGTTGAAAGAGGACTGGTGCGTTGCATTGGTTTAGCTCATAGATGTTCAGAAGTATTTATTGAACACCTACGTCAGTTTTTGGAGTTCCTTTGCTGTGTACTTATCATGTACTTTAATATTGTTTGGTAATTTTTTTTCTCTTGCATTTCTGATATAACTTTTCATTTATTATATTTTTCAGAATTAGTAGGTTGCCCTTTTTTTTTTTTCAGAGAACATACAGACTTTTTTCTTCTAATTCTGTAGGTGAGTTTCAGGCTTTACAAGAAAGCCTGGTTAAACAGGAGACTGCTGTTCACCTAGACTAATATCGGTGTTTGGGAACCTGTACTGCCCCCAGGAAGCTCCCACAGACTGGTGTGATGAATGAGTTTATTTCCTCCCCTGAGGCTTGTCTTCCCACTCGAAAGAGAAAATCAAGGCAGAATAACTGGTAGTTTCGCCCAGAGGAGTTTTCCCCCCGGGGGTTTTCTGAAGGGGATTGAGTTCTCCACTGCTCCCTGGCCTTTCCCTTTTCTTCCAGGAACTTGCTCTTACATTGAACAGGGTTGTGAGCATGTGGAAGGTAGAACCCGCCGCTGCCCACTCCGACTCCCCCAGGAAAGCAGAGCTCTGTTGGCACACAGACAGCGCTTCCAGTAAATACTTTGTGGTAGCATCTTTAAAATAGCCTAATGTTCTCAGCATTTCCGATCTTGGCAATACATTTCAGGTGGCTCTGTCCAAAAAGTTGTGAACATTTTTCTTTCATTCTGTACTTTGTTTTCACATTTTCCGAGAGACTTGCAGAACATCTTGTAAATTAACGGGAAATTTAACAACAATTTCCACATTCATTAAAAAAAAAGTGAAATGTTGACTAATAGACAGTAGAATGAGTTTTGTAATGGAAGACCAATATTTTCTCACCGATTCATTACATCAGCTAGACATGGAAAACTTAGATTTCACTAATAATTAGTATGATAAAATTTTGAAATAAAAATACACATTCAGAAAGAGCACTTAAAATTTTATACAACCCATGAGTGTGTGTATGCATGCATATATATATATAATACATATGTTTGTAATTAAACATAATTCACATGAGAACTAAAGCTATCTTTCTATGAAATACTTGTTGGATTGCATTGTCTAGGCAAGGAATCTAGAAGCTAGTGATTTTAGGAAATGTTGAAACATAAGCAAGTAAAACGGTTTTCTATTTTATTACCAAGTTCCATGTTATGGTGAAAGTTATTATTACTTAATAATAAAAACATTTGAGTAGAAAAAAATGGATGAAAAATTAGTAACATTTTCCCAGATAATACAAGTCCTAGTCTTGTCAATTCTACCATGAAAAATTCCTTAATATTCCCAAATTCTTGACAACTCTGTAATTAGCAATAAATTCAACACTCATGTTCAGAATAGAATGAAGATTTGTCTTCGTTGCACAGCAATCCAGCAGATGACCCATCCTTGAGATCCCCATGTAGAAGAGCTATACTTACAGCAGCATAGTCAGCTGCTTATGTTCCTGCCTCTGTTGAGGTAAGAGCGTCCATACCTGTAGTGAAATTTTATAAGAATTCATTGGAGCCCAAACTGACGACATGGCCAGAAAGTAAGTTCTCAAATTCTCCAGAGAATGAGTTTGGCAGTTTCTTTTTTAAAAAAAATTTATTGATTGATTTTAGAGAGAGAGGAAGGGAGAAAAAAGAGAAAAACATCATTGGTTGCCTCCCATATGCACCCTGACTGGGGATCGAACCTAAAACGATGCTCCAACCAACTGAGCCACCTGGCCAGGGCTGCAGTTTCTTTTATGCCTAGAAATTAAGAAGGGAGCTAAGGAAGATTGCATAAACAAGATTATGTCCTCTCTAGAGGGTGATTACGCATATTTCAAAGGTGTGAACCTAGATGCACAAAAACAACAGGGCTTACATAAGACAGAAATAAACCTTTTACTGAATAGTTATGTCTGAGGTGTGACTACCTATCATGACCAGCCCAGTTAGGAATTTATGGTGATCAGATCACCCTGTGAGTATACTTTCCTAGAACCCCCCTTTTCATCCACACCTCTGTTGATTGGATTGTAAATCTTTTAAGTTTTTAAAAATTCTTAATGACTTTTAAAATTCTACCTTCAGCCCTGGCTGGTATTGCTTAATGGTTAGAGTGCTGGCCCTCAAATTGAAGGGTTACAGGTTTGATTCCGGTCAAGGGCACATACCTGGGTCGCAGGTTTGATCTCTGGGCCCGGACGGGGTTGTTTGGGAGGCAGTCAATTGATACTGCTCTCTCACATCGATGTTTCTCTCTCTCCCTTCCTTTCACTCTATCTAAAAATCAATGGGAAAATATCCTCAGGTAAGGATTAACAAAAAATAAAATAAAATCCTACCCTTGTGTCTGAGAAAAAATATGACAGTTTATTCAGGAGTTATCCAGAATTCTTTGACCGTAAATAGGAATGTTTGCTAACATTTAAAATCAACAGAAGAAGAAAAAAATTTTCTTGATCAAATTGATGTCTCCTAGTTAAAATATTGGAAAGCAACAGTGGAATCAAACATCGTTGAGAGAAATAACTAAAGATATATATTAAGCTCAAAATGATAGCACAAATAACCATATAACATGCAAGGAGCTTTTAGTACAGTTAGATAGTATTGGTTACAGTTTTCAATATGTGCCAGTTTAATAATATCGTCTGACAATATCTTAAAGTCTCAAATAGATCTGAGTAAAACCCCGTTTCTTGATAATTATTGAAGCTAGGTGATGGGAAAATAACTTCTACTTTTGTATATGTTTACATTTTCCCATAATTAAAAAAAAAAAAACTATAATAACACCTCACTTGTCCATTACTGAGGTATTCCAGATTAGTTTTTCCAAACAAATTAAAGTTTGTCAAAAGCTTATCATGCCAACCTATTTTCCCCTATGCGTCCTTTAAATAGAGCACTGGTGTGATTTTCATGATGGTCAGGCATTCCCGCTGTCAGGCTACAAGCTGCTCACCAGAGTGATCCCCCTGGGCTGCCGTGGCATCTGAGTCTGCCCGCCTCCAGTTGGCCATCAGTCTGCCAAGGGCCTATTTTGGACCTGCATTCTCTGAGGAAATGACTCCAGGTGGCCAGGGGGTCTTGTCCCTTGAGGTGCTCTGGAAACCAACACTACCCATTTTTCTCTTTTTCAGTATTCCAACCTTCTTGTCCAGTTTTTTGTTGTTGTTTTGTTTCTATTACAGCAGAGACAGGTTACAATGAAAATTTGTTGACATGCTTACTTCTTGTCGTTATTAAGTGAGGTTTATTGAAATACAATTTATGTACTGTAAACTTCACCCTTTTTGATTATAAAGTTCTATGAGTTTTGGCCCTGGCGAGTTTGGCTCAGCAGTTAGAGTGTCGGCCTGCGGTCCAGAGACCTGGGTTCGGTTCCGGCTAAGGGCGTGTACCTCGGTTGTAGTTTGTCCCCGGCCCTGGTTGGGTTGTGCAGGAGGCAGCCACTCGACGTTTCCCTTTCACATGTTTCTCTCTCTCTCTCTCCCTCCATTCTATCTGAACAAAAAATGGAAAAATGTCCTCAGGTGAGGATAAAAAAAAAAAAAAAGTTCTATGAGTTTTGAAAAACCACCACACAATAAAGACATAGACTTTTTCATTGCGTTACAAAAATTCCCTGGCCCTCCTTACCTCCTCCCTCTCCCAGACCCTACAAACTACCAATGTGATTTCTGTACCTACAGTTCTGCCCTTTCAGAATATCAAATAAATGGGAAGCATTTGAGTTCTTCCTCCCGGCATATGTTATCAATTTGGCTCAAATAAACTCTTATGTTTATTCTCTACAAGTTTGAATGTTCCTTACCTTGACAGTGTAAGTTGGAAAGGACATTGTGATGAAGTTGACAGAAAGGTGCAAATGTGAACGTGGTTAGAAAAGACTTCTGTAAGAAAATGATATTTAAGCTGAGACGTAATGCACGGAAAGGGCCAAGGGAAGGGTATAATGGCAGAAAGAGCCAGGTGCAGAGGGCCTGAGCAGAGACAAAGTAAGGTGTGGTAGGCAACAAATTGAATGCAGAAACGGATGTGAGAAGTGAGTAATCCCCTATTTAACCAGACCTTAAAGGAATTTGCGGAAATGTAACCAGTAACACTCCTTTAAGTACATTTTTGTTATCATTGAAAATATAGTTCTTTTTCAATAAAAATATGTACTGGGTTAAAAAAAAAATCATATAAACAGTCTCAAACAGTATGCAGCCTTTTGAGTCTGGCTTCTTTCACTTAGCACAGTACTTTTATTTATTTTTTTAAAGAAAACTATTTTGAAATACTTTTAGGTTTACAGAAATGTTACAAATATAGTACACAGTGTTTCCATATACTATTTACCCAATTTCCCCTATGGTTAACATCTGATGTAATCACAGTACAATGATGTGAACTAGGACATTTACTTCAATACAGTACTATTAACTAATTTTCAGACTTCATTCAAATTCTGCCAATTCTCCCACTAATGATCCTTTTCATGTCTTGAATCCAATCTAAGATATCACACTGTATTTAGTTGTCCTGTCTCTTTAATTAATTAATTTATTTTTTTTATCCTCACACGAGGACATTTTTTCATTTTTTGTTCAGGTAGAGTGGGAGGGAGAGAGAGGAACAGAGAGAGAGAAACATCGATGTGAAAGGAACACATCGAGTGGTTGCCACCTGCACAACCGACCAGGGCCGGGGACAAACTGCAACCGAGGTACGTGCCCTTAGCGGGAACCGAACCCGGGTCTCTCAGGACCGCAGGCTGATGCTCTAACCGCTGAGCCAAACCGGCCAGGGCTGTCCTGTCTCTTTAGTATCCAACCTGGGACAAGTCTTCTGTCTTTTCTTTCATAACCTCGATAACATTTTTTAAGAGTACTGGCCAATTTTGCTGTAGAACTCCCTCTCAGTTGGGGTTTGTCTGCTGTTTTCTTTTCTTTCTTAATATTTTTATTGACTTTTAGAGAAAGAGGAAGGAAGTGGGAGAGAGAGATAGAAACACTGATGAGAGAAATATCTATCAGCTGCCTCCTGCACACCTCCTACTGGGGTCAAACCCACAACCCAGGCATGTGCCCTGATCCAGAATTGAACCAGCGACCTCTTGGTATATGGGATGATGCTCAACCGAACTACTCCAGCCTGGTTGTCTGATGTTTTCTTATAATTAAATTGAGCATATGCATTTTTTGTGGAAAATGCAATGCAAATGATGTTTTGCCCTCCTCACTGTATCCTATCAGGAGGTACATGATGTCAGTATGTCTTATTCCTGGGGATTAATTTTGACCACCTGGTAAAGGTAGTGTCTGCTAAATTTTTCCACTGCTGGTTACTATTGCATTATACTTGAACAATTCATCCATGTTGCTTTACGTACTAGCAGTTGGTTCTTGTATTGCTGAACAGTATCTCATTGTATGGATGGACCACAATTTGTTTACCCATTTATAAGTTGATGGACGTTTGATTTGCTTTCCGTTTTTGGCCTGGCACTATCTCATAGGCCTTGGTGTTCTCCTGTTGAACATAAATAATTTCACAAAACACCAACATCAAACAGGACTGCTCTGTGACCATGGTGAATTGGGACAAAAATAAGACAGCTCCATAATGTCTAAAGCTAGACAAAAACAAGAACATGTCTAAACCACAAAAATGACAAGACGTCCTCCTAGCCCAACTAATGCCAGGGCCTGCTGTTTACTGACTAACCACAGCTCTAGCCTCACTTCAGTCCTTTCACCTTTTAAATAAGATTCACTAAAATATTCAGTCAAGGTATCCTGATTCCTCACAGCCTCCAGTCCAGAATAAAGCCTCACTTCTTTGAACCCTTTCCGACCTTAGCTAACATGAGCCTAAATCCTGTAAGAAATCCTTTCTGACACTGTTACTGAGACGTCCTGCAGTTGTTCATGGTTGCTTCTCTCTCCTTGCAACTCGCTCAACTACAGTGTGTTCCTGGTCTGTCACTGCAAAGCAAACAATATATAAACACACATACTGAAAATCCTCGCTTCCACTCTTGTCTCCATTCATCCTATTTCCCATCCCACCCTCAATATTTTTTTCTAATTTCTTGAGAATTCTTCCATTAAAAAAAAAATGTAAATGGAAACAGTACTATAAGTATATACTCTTATCCCCTTTCCTTTTCCTCACACAACACTATTCGTACCTGACTTTCCCCCACAACATTATATTTTGGAGATCGCTATCAAATTAGAAGGTCCTTATTTTGAGTTTTTTAAAACATGTGAAATCTGAACATTGGAATGACATATGAAATTAAATAATCTGATTTGGCACTAACAGGTTTTTGAGCCTCATCTTTCAGATATTTATCTTTAACCTCTGTGACTATCTTCTGCTCTGCTGATACCAACCCTCACTTCTAAAGCCAGTCAACTGTTTGCTTATAAATATGGAATCAACCAACAAATCACATTTAATTACTTTGTTCATTTGTGTTTTTTAAAATTGTAGTGAAATACACATAACATTTACCACCTTAACCATTTTTAAGGGTATAGTTCAATAGCGTTAAGTACATCCACGTTGTGTAAACCGTCTAGAACTCTATCTTGTGCAAAACTAAAACCCTGTACTCATTTTCACAATTTAAAAACTATTTTATAGTTCACATACAGTGAAATTAACCCTTTTTTAGTGCTAAGTTTTATGGATTTTGACAGATACAATTATGTAACTACCATCATAATCAAGATTTAGAACAATTCCATTACCTTAAAAAGCCCTCATGGCCCTTTGTGTATTCAGTCTTTCCTGCTCAAGCAACCACTGATATGTTTTCTGTCCCCACAGTTTTGTCTATTCCAGAATGTCATGTAAGTGGAATCATACATGCATTCTTTTATATAGCAACCATGAAGCATATTGTGAATGTGCCGTTGTTCATTGAACTCATCCCCTACAGGTAGACATATAGGTTGTTTCTAGTCACAGTGGTCTAAAGAACAACCCTGTAGACATGTCATTTTGGATGTGTGTAAGTCTGATTGTTGTAAAAATGTCCAGACTTGGGATTTCTAGGTCACAGAGAAAATGCATTTATAATTTGATAGATTGTTCTCCAAAGGGAGTGTAAAGTTTTGGGAAATATTTTATTTTTTCTATTTTTCCTATGTCCACAGAACTTTAATCCTCAGCTCTTCCAATGATTTGACCTGATAGGTGAAAGTCAGCTCTGCCAATTACCATTTTGATGTCATTGATCCAAATATTGTCTTTCTCCGTGTCTTCTTTTCTTTTATAAAATTTCTCAGGGATAGATAAAGATTTACTAAATGTGCTTTAAGGCACAAGTTTCTTTGACATGATGTCATCTTTATCCTATTTGTTGTCATAATAAATATCTTTTATGCTTATTTCAATTATCAGAATTTACATTCTCATAGAAACAGTATTTTAACAAAAAACTTGAGAGATTGGTGGTTTTCACACCTTTTTAAAAGCAGCTGAACCTGTTTTTCAAATTAATTCTCACATCTGATTCAATCTTCTAAGACAGTGGTTTTCAAACTTGAGCATTCATCAGAATCACCCGGACACAGATGTGGGCCCCACCCCCAAAGTGTCTGATTTGTGAGCCTGCGGTGGAGCCAATAACTGCATTTCTAACAAAATCTCAGGTGCTGCTGTTGCTGCTGGTCTAGGTGCTCTTGAGAACAAATTGAAAACAGCTGGTTTAGAGGCAGAATACCATGAAGATCTGACACTAAAGATTTTTGTTAAGGACCTTCTTAACTTGTATATATATACACACATATATTTGTGAAATACAAGCATTTTCTGATTGTTTCTATTTGTTTTTGTGATTTTTCTGAAGTCCATCTCAAGAATTAGTATTGTAAGGAAAACCTGATGGGACCTCTCCAGATTGCCCCCAGCCGATTCATTTCCCAACTATATTGTGGATTGAAGTCTCCAGCAGCCTCAAAAACCAAGATTTGCCTAACAATGGCTCGTCCAAGTTCAAGTAGGTCTTTCTCAGTGTGCTATCTTCTCATCTCCAGTGGAAATTCAAGTACCTGAAAGTGCCTACACTTCAAGGGGAATGTTTATATTAAAGTGGGTGCTGGGCAAGATTTTGGAGAAGGCCACTCTGTCCTTTTCTCCTTAGGCAAGCCCCTTCCAGGACAGGTCAGAGATGATATCTAATGGTCAAGGTAAGTCCATTTTTAGACATTATGCTGCTTCTCCCAGAGTATTTGCATTTAAGCCTTTCCACATGATTTGTATTCTAAACCCTTCACCTCTCTGCATGAGAGAAAATCTCGTGATTATCTTACAGGGTAATGTGGGATTATGTTCTTTACTGGACAGAAATTATGTGTATCCCTATAATCAAATGCATGTTTGGCTGCCTGCTGCAATGAAAGCCAAACTTGTGAGACAGGGCTGATGAGAAGGAAAGAGGTTTATTCAAGTGCTGGCAACCCGAGAAGATAGGGGACTCTTGTCCCAAAGCCCAACTTAACATCTCAGTACAGGCAGAGGTTTTTATCAGGAGGGAAAGGGAAAGCAGAACAAAGAAATCAAGATGCTGAAAGTTTTCTACATGTAAGTCAGCACAATCCATTTTGATGATTATCTTGAAACCGGTCAAACTGAGGTCCAGTTTTTATGGTTGGGAATCAGCAAGTGTCCTGGAGTCAGAATGTCTGGTGGTGGAGTCAGCCTCCTTCCCCAAAGTTAGTTTCTGTAATATGCTCAAAAGGCTGTTAGTGATTTATGGAAGGCATGACAAACTGGGCCTTTGTTTTAAGGCACATGTCCTCATCCCTGATTTAGGGAGAAGCATTGTTCATTATAGTTTATTTAATCAAGAAGGTTATTGTGCTGGTTAGCATAAGATTTTATATATCCTCTCTATCTGACAAAAGCCTAAAAGTTAACATAGCTGGGCCCTTACTCTACAGTAGGTATAGGGTCTAATAGATTTATATAGTAAATTATCCTTAGGTGGGTCTGTTAAACATGCTTCAGTGTGGCATTGAAAGGCCAAGCTGAACTCTTTTGGCCTCATTTTCAACTTCTGGATAACTTTTTTGAATACTGCGAGTCTGCTGAATCGTAACAATGTCTCCTTCCATTTTGCCCAATCTCAGTAACAATAAAGAACCCAAAGAACCCAGTTCCACTCAGTTGCCCAACCCCTTGGTGTTCCCAGCTGTGCAGGACAGGCTGCTAGAGGCTGTGGCAGGACCCAGAAGTGTGTGCCTGAATAAAATGGGCCACGTGGCTCTGAAACTGCAAAATATGTGGTGTGTTTTTCTTTAGCAGTTAGGAAATGTCTCTTTTAAATAAGATTTTACACTGCTGTAACATCATTATATCTTACATTCTGTTTTCCAAGAACCAACCCTGAGATGACTTTTTTATTTCTTTCTAGAAGTTGCTTTAAGTGGTACCTTAAGAGAAGTCACTATGACCTGGAAATCTATTCATCAGAAGGATGACAGACTTTACATTTAGGGTAGAAAACACCTTTATAGCAGGCAGGGGCAAGTTTTATGGATGAACTTTGAAGTCCTTAAGTATGTTTTTTGGGTTCAACCCAGGAGTCATACATATAGTTCCTAGGAAAAGATCTGTACATTTTCTTAGTTAGCATCTTGTTCTTTCAGGGGATAGATCCGACTACAAACTCGGATCCACTCAGACTGGGTTTAATTTTTCAGAAATCTTCCTCGTTGGAAAGCTTTAGTAGATTTTATTTTTTAAAATATTTGTATGGATTTTTTTTAGAGAGGAAAGGAGAGGGACAGAGAGAGAAATATCAATGTGAGAGCAGAACATCATGCACGCCCCCTACTGGGGATCGAGCCCACAACCTGAGCATGTGTCCTGACTGGGAATTGAACTGGCAACCTTTTGGTGCATGGACAACACCCAACCATCTGAGCCACACTGGCCAGAGCTAGTAGGCCTTACTTCTAACACCAGTCTATTTCTGAAAGGGACGTGCATGTAGGCAGAGTATCAGCATGGCAAGCAGGTAGTTGGGCTGGTTTTACCTAAAGGCAACAGTGCGCCTGAACCATCTTCATTCCCTTGAGCCTTGCTGCAGGGAACATATTCCCAGAGAGCTCCAGGAATGTGGCTGGAAGGGAACTGGAGCATGCGCCTCTTTGTTTCTGAGAGTCTGCTTTGACTCTCTGTTCATTCTTACCAGTTGTCAGACAGGAAGGGAAAGGGAGGGGAGATGGAGCCTTTTAAAAATTATCTATCCTGCCTGGGCCATAGAGGTGGTTCTGGGCTTAGGAGGGGGAGGATGTGCTATCCTTGCCTAGAGGAAGCCAACAAGTATGAGAAACCAGTAGGATCCTCCTTACCAGCTTGGGGAACAAAATGAAGTCACATTCCCTTTAATAATTCATGTTTATTATCTCTGAGCCCCCACCCCACTGTTTTTCTTCCTTTTCTCCATTCTGCCTGTCACCGGTTCCCTCCACATAGAATGTGCTTATTCATTCCAAAGGTTGACCTTGGTTGTCGTTGCCTCTGGAGGAGACCAGAAAGTCTACTCCATCAGCTGTGGAACTCACTTCCACGTTTGCTGAACTTCCCAGTGCTTTAGCTCAGGCTGGCCACTCCCAGATGTCTGCATAGCGGCCCAGGCCAGCCACAGGCAGTGCTGATCTGGCACTTGCTTCTGCAGGTGGAGGGCAGAGAGGGAGTCCTTGTCCCTGAAGCTTATGCTCAGCTCTGTAGGGCTTACACCTGGCCTGCTGAGGCCACAGCACGTGCCCCTTGCGAGAGGGCCTCAGAGCCGCGTGTCTGCGAGAGAAGGGTGTTGTTCTCTGCTATAAGCCGGGCCCTGACCTGATCTCTGCCACACGAGACACAGTGGCACTTCCAAATCTGGCTCCTTGTTCTTATCCTGGGATGAAGACATTTGTTTCAGGGGCAAACTGTGTAAAGTGCTTGGAACAGAGCCAGGGTGCAGTCAGCCCTCACTAAATGATGGCTGCTGCCCCTGTTGGTCTGAGATCAGGGGAGAATGCCTGGAGGTGCAGAGCAAGGCCTTTGATCTGGGGGTCAGGGCATGGTCTGTGCCCATGAATACCTGCTGCTGTGTTATTCTCTCTGTTCAATTCTCCTCTGTTAACTTAAGTCTCTGATGACGACCTGTTGAAAAGTCCAACTCTTATTTGAGCTGTAAAGGAGAAAGTCATGTGTCCAGGTTTAGAGTACAGCATTTGTTCACAGGAGAGGGGGCCCTCGACCTCGCCTTTGGTAGCAATGCTGAGAGAAGCAGCTAGAATTAGCAAGATCTGCAAAGGGAAGAGGACTTGGGGAGGAAAGGAAAGCTTTGGGGTCCAGTGGGCCTGTGGTCAGTACACACACACACACACACACACGCTTGTTTTATTTTCATGAAGGAAGTTGCATTCTCTTCATTTAGTCTTTATACCAGCACATCAAATTGCCAGGGGAGCCCAGGATGGCAGGAGGTCGGTGATTCACACGGAATCACAGGATGGATGGAGGTGGGGCCGAGATTCAGAGCCAGTGCTCTGTGCCCACAGGCCCCGCTTCTTTCTTAAGATGTTGTACATTCACACATCAAAGGCATGGATGGTGTCTTCATGATACAAGAATGATTTTTAAAATGTTTTTATTGATTTTTTTAGAGAGAGATAGAAACATTGATGTGAGAGAGAAACATCAATCAGCTGCCTCCTTCATGCCCCCTACTGGGGATCGAGCTCACATCCTGGGCATGTGCCCTAACCGGGAATCGAACCAGGACCTCTCAGTCCATGGGACGATGCTCAATCCACTGAGCCACACCAGCCTGGCACAGGAATGATTTTTATTTGAGTGTCTTCAAGTACAATTTCACGCAAGGTCACATTTCTAAATACAGGTATCTCCCACTTTTCCAAAGTTTGCTTTATACCACTTTGCTATTACAAAAAACTTACATTAATATTTGTCTTTGCTAACCAAAAGAAATCCAAAGAGGATGTTTTCATTTACAAAAAACGGTTTAAAACAAAAATAGCATTCAGCATTTAATTTGCAGCGAGTTATAGAGACAGCACACACTCGGATCAGCGAGAGCAGCCCTGCCAACTTCCTTCTCTGGGAATTAGGTTTAGCATCAGGCACCATAGTTTTGAAATGTGTCTGTGAGCATCTGTGCTTTATCTCCATTTATTCTGTGTATCCGTCAGCAAGATGTGTCCTAAGGTAGTTGCTTCTTTGCTTTATGCAAGGTATCATAGAAACACTGTACTTTTCAATAGTAGGGGAAACCTAGGCAGACAATTGATATGGGATATAATTATCCAAATGGTGCGCTGAACTGATAAAGGTTTTATTCTCTCTTTAGATATGGCTGATTTTCGGAAGTATTTTGCAAAAGCAAAGCACATAGTCATCATTTCAGGGGCTGGCATTAGTGCTGAAAGTGGGATTCCGACTTTCCGAGGAGCCGGAGGTTACTGGAGAAAGTGGCAAGCTCAGGTGAGTAGTGTTTCCAGAATATTAAGAGGCTCTTCTGAATGAAGCCATAACAGAGTGACTCAGAATCAGTACTGATGCCTCAAACCCAGAGGGCAAAGTTTTGTTTTTTAAATCCTCATCCAAGGACATGTTTTTTCCCATGTATCTTCAGATAGAGTGGGAGTGAGGGAGATAGAGAGAAGGAAACATCGATGTGAGAGAGAGACATCGACTGGTTGCCTCCCGCACAACCCCCACCAGGGCCGGGCTGAACCACAACCGAGGTAAGTGCCCTTGATTGGAATCGAACCCACAACTTATAGGTCTGCAGGCCGACGCTCCAACCGCTGAGACAAACCGGCCAGGGCCAAAGTTTTGAAACTAACTATGAGTCTTGTTCTGTTCATTTTGGCGTTGACGCGACACCCACGATTAACATCTGAGATTTAAACAAAGCAGCTACTTCCCTTACTTCCTGGGTAGGTATAGATTGCATTTATTAAGATAACAATTGGATTTCTTCTAGTAATTAAAGTAGAATCAGAAAACCTTGGTTAGCACAATAATTCATTACTACAGGTATTTAAATTAAGTATTACAAATTTTTTAAGTTTCTATGAACTTTTCACATTAACACTGAAGTTGAATTATTGAAGGTCCAGGGCTTGATGTTCAAAACTTTATACAAAGGCCATTAGAATGTTCTTGGGGGGGGGGGGGGGCGTGGATTTTTGAAAATTGAGTTTTATTGAGGTATATTATCCATACAATAAAATTCACCAATTTCCAGTGTACAGTTCAGTGACTTCTAACAAATGTATACACAGTGTAACCACCACCACTATCGCCTGTGGATGGTTTCTGTGCCTCGGATTATTCCCTCAAGGCCCTTTGCAGTCCTTCTCCTCCCTCCCCCAGGAAACCCCCAGTCTTGGAGGGCAGGGAAGTTTGTCCGTTTTACTCATTGCTCCAGCTCCCAGAACTTCGGAACAGTGTAGGTGCTTAATAGATGTTTATTGGGTGAATGAAAGCAATCATGACTAATTACTTCAATACATGACTTCCAAGTTTAGTAGGTAATTTCTTGTTGAGTGAAGGGTTAATGAACCTGCCCTTCTGTCCTGTATTGAAGGTCTCAGGATGGCGTATGCTCAGGATGTTTTGTCACCTCTCTACTGCCCTCCCGGCGAGGTGTGGGGGATGTAGACACGGGATCTAAAGGTGAAGGGGAGCAGAAGGAAGAGTGGAGGCCATTAGGGTCCCACAAGAAGGAGGAGCCAAGGAAAGCAGCCCCTGCATTAGAGAAGCAGAGGTGGGGCTCAGCAGGTATAGGGAGGAACTTAGAAAGGGGTGGTGGTTCATGTCAGAGCAGCTAGAGTTTGTGGGGAAGCAAAGGAGTCAATAGAATACGTTTGCCTCCAGCTGTGTTCCCAGAACACATGCAGGGTGGGCAGAAGGAGGTTTACTATTGTGAGTATGCCAAATAGTTTATTCTTGTATCATTATTATTGATTGATTACTGTAAACCTACTTCTGCTCACCCCTGCAGATCCAGGTTCATGTGCTCCGGGCCACCTGTGCTCTAGGTGGAGGACAGGAAGGAAGGCAGTTCAGGAGTGACAGTGTAGAAGATCAGTCCCCACATGAAGGCCGCCATGGCTACCAGGCAGACATTACCAGTAAAATAAATGTGTAAGAGAGCACTTGGCTATCTCCGAGGGTTCCCTCGCGCCCCTCCCTCAGCTTCCAGCCCCAGACAATTACTTCTCTGCTGTCTGTTCACCATCCAGGAGATTTGTCTGTCCTAGAAGAGGCATTGCACCGTGAAATATATAATTATATATATAGAGAGAGAATATAATACATGTGGTGAGTGTGTAGCTGTAATTACAGTTATAAAAACTGATTTCTCAGTAGGGCATTTTACGTTCACTTTTTTCCCTGGGCAAATGATACTGACTTCATATATTCTGAGCTCCAACCTACATTACCTTCCTGCATATTACTTTCCTTCATGTTCAGAGCTCACTTGAGTGGTAAATAGGACAGGTTGCATTTTCCCTGAGTTATAATTGGGGAAATTAAAACCGATTTCTCCAAGGTCCCTTGTTACTTCCAGAACTGGGGCACAGGCTGGTGCCCAGGCCCCTGCCCTGTGTCTGCCGCGCTGCATGAACCTGCAGCAGCCGTGCGCCGCCTTGCACCCCCGCAAAGCTGCGTGCCTCTGTTGTGGAGAAAGGGGGCCTGCGCGTGTTCCCCGCCATTGCCGGAGGTTCTGCGCCCCCCCCTTTCCCTCCCTGCCTCCTGCCTCCTCTCTTTCCCCCAGGCCCTGGCCACTCCCGGGGCCTTTGCCCAGAACCCGTCCCGGGTGTGGGAGTTCTACCACTACCGGCGGGAAGTCATACAGCGCGTGGAGCCGAACCCTGGGCACCTCGCCATCGCCGAGTGTGAGGCCCGGCTGCGTGCGCAGGGCCGCCGGGTCGTGGTCATCACCCAGAACATCGATGAGCTGCACCGCAAGGCTGGCACCAAGAACCTTCTGGAAATCCACGGTGAGACCCCCAGCCGCACATGGGGAGGGAACCAGTCGTTAAACACGTGTCCTGCCATTTCCCACGTGGACTCACTGAAAGAGAATCTGCATTTGGACAGGCGCCCAGGTGTCCGGGGTGCACGGACACTGGAGAAGCGCTGGTCTTCGCAGTGCCCGCACGCCCTCCCTGGGACGTCTGAGGGGGCGCTGGAGACAGCTGCCCAGCTGGGCTGAAAGCGGCCAGGAGGTTAGGCCACTGAACAGCTGTGGCTTTAGCAGGACCTGGCATGGGGGACCATGGCATGCCTGGGGGTGTCTATTTACAGTCCCTTTGCCCCCATTTGGCACTGTCCACGGAGGCTGCGCTTCTGCTAAGCCCTCCAGCCTTTAGGGAGCCGCCAGCACAGGCACCTTCACTGAATCAAGCCCGCCCAGTTTGTGACACACCTGGGTTTTGTCTTAGGTCCTTCGGGCTTCCCCTCTGCCCTGATGACAGCCTCCTTTCTCTCTGGTTCTCTTGACCCCTCCCCTCCTTGCTCTCATCGGTCCGATCAGTCCATTCATGCGAGAGCGTCAGTGGCACGTAAGGATTTTTTTCCCCAAGGATATTTGCATTTAGGAGTCTACAAAACTTTAATCCCAAGGAATGTGTTTCTAATTGTGGAATTTCCAGCAACAGTGCCCCGGTGGGGAATGTTGCTTGTGTGTGTGCCGTGAGGTTGCCCAGGCTTATGGTCACCCTGATGATGGAAGTTGAGTGCTGTTCCCTTGGATCCCACGCCTCTTTTGTGTCCTAACAGCATCAGCCATCTACTAACCGAGTATCTTTTTGGCACCTTCTGCTGGATCTGGGACACTTTCCACATGGCTCGTCTCATTTCTGTGCATTGCCAGAATGTAAGCTGTGTCACTTGCCATGTGGAGTGTATAAAATGGTGATAATACCTATCTTATCCAGTTATTTTAAGGATTAAGTAAGAATGTTTGCATATTAGTTGGGACTTTTTTTTGGTTGCAAGTGATGAGAATGCTTTTCTAATTTAGGTAAAAATAAAGGGAAGCCCTTCCCTAAATCAAGTGCAAGATGCCATCAATTTTAAGATGCATCATTTTTGTATGTGTTTTTTTAAGATTTTTAAAAATTGAATTTTAGAGAAGAGAGAGAGAAACATCAATGTGAGAGCAAGACAAGATTCGCTGCCTCCTTCACACCACCTCCCAGGGATGGAGCCCGCAAACTGGGCATGTGCCCTGACTGGGAATCGAACCAGCAGCCTTTTGATATATAGGACAGTGGCCAACTAACTGAGCTACACTGGCCGGGACAAGATGCACCATGTTTTTAATGTGATACTTAGAAAGAAAATAATCTACCCAAACCATGATACTTTATTTTATTATCTCTTAGAATTATTATTTTATACTTATAGAAAGGGCTTGTTAAAATTTACTTAGATACACAATTTTAAAAACTCTCCCTCTATTCTTACAAAAGAAAACACAAAATATGGGTGAAACAGAGCGGTTAAGCTATTTCTTCTGAGTGGCTGGGAGCATCAGTGACAGTGTTCTGCACACTGTCAGCTCTGTGCTGTCGGGGGATTGGTGATGCAGCATTTCCTAAGGGAACGCTCCTCTCTTATCTCTGGGTTTGCCTTCCAAGCTGCTGACACACTCTGCAGATTTGATGCTGGGCCTTTCTTGATCTTACCAAAAGGTGCCGATGGAAGGGTTATAGTCAACAACCAGTACTCATTTCCTTCCCCAAATGGCCCTTAGATGGTTGTGGGCTGAAGTAAGTAGGGACTGCCTTTGTCCAGTCGGGACACCCATCAGTCATTGGCTATCCTTCAACAGTCTGTGCAAGTGCTGGCTATAACAACCACGTCTCAGCCGTCACGTGGCCAGGGGCAGTTGCAGGACACGTCTGAATTTCAGAGATGTTGGGGGAAAGTGGCCACACAAAAACTGACAAAACAGGTCAGTTGGTTCGCAACACAGGAGCTCTGGGTGGGGCCGACGTCATCAGCAGACTCCGTCTTTCTCTCCCTTTCTCTCTGCCTCCCCTTCCCTCAGCTTCCGGGCTCCAGCTTAGCTCTGTCCTCAGAAGATACACCTCTGAGGGCCTTGCTTGTAGACCAAACACACCCGCTAGAGGGATAGGGTACCTGGATTGGACCAGTCTGGAACTTGGACCCAAGCTTGTATTTTAGGATGGGATGACAGGTCCATCAGCTTGGCATGGGGCAGAGGAGAGATGGGTCCTCCACAAAGTGACACTGGACAGATGGAACAACATGTGTCCACCAGTGAGGGACATGCTCAGCATGGCACTGGGCTCATAGTGAGTATGTAGTGAATTGTGGTCACCATTACTGGGTTAGCTCAGTAAATGGTTGCTAGTTTTAACTGTTACTTTCTTCATTTATTATTTGATTATTGATTGATTGATCTGGTTTTGGATAAAAGAGTCAAGCTTTATTAAGTTGAAATTAAGATTTGTAAACACATCCAAGCTACTGAACCTTTGTCAATCATGTGCTTAGTAAATCATGCCCTTAGGTTTGGTTGGCTTCATCTACTTCGGTCCAGTTCCGCCTGGACAGCACTGCAAACAACATGCTAGCTGCTTAGTGATGGACGGCGTTACTTCATGTCTCTCTTCCCTTCAGAGCACAGAGTCCAGAGGGCGATGCTCTCGGCCTGTTCAGTGGTACTACATGCCCTTACATTTCCCATGATGCCAGGGTAGGCCCATTTTCTAAAATGAGCATATAAAATCTAAATGATTTTGTACCCTTTTGGGTATGGAAGGGAGATGGTTGCTCTTGATGATACTATTTCTGGTCTCACTTAATTTGTGTGTTTCAGGTAGCATATTTAAAACTCGATGTACCTCTTGTGGAGTTGTGGCTGAGAATTACAAGAGTCCAATTTGTGCTGCTTTATCAGGAAAAGGGTAATTATGCTGCACTACAGAATAAGTGTGTGTTGTTTTCTCTCTTAAATTGAACGTAAGTGCAAGGAAAGTGAACATTAATCTAAGATTTGCATGGATATTTATGGAATAGGGCCAAATACGTAATACCATATTATGAAAGAAATATTTTGCTCACAATTTACAATATTAAGTGAAAGCCACAGGATCTAACTTTTTTTTTTAATCCTCACCCAAGGACTTTTTTACATTAATCTTCAGATAGAGCTAGAGGGAGAGAGGGAGGAAGAGAGAGAGAGCGAGAGAGTAAAACATCGATGTGAGAGAGACACATTGATTGGTTGCCACCCACACAATCCCAACACACAACCCCAACTGGGGCCGGGGACGAACTACAACCGAGGTATGTGCCCTTGGCTGGAATCAAACCTGCGACTCTTTGGTCCACGAGCGATGCTCTTACCACTGAGCCATTCTGGCCAGGGTCACAGGATCTAATTTTATACAGTATGATTCTAACTTTGTATTTAAACACACACACACACACACACACACTTCCCATGTTGATGTACCTGTGTATAGATAATAGACCTGAAGAAAATACAGCAAAATATCAACGGTGATTATCAGGAGTGGGGGGAGGATAGGTAATTCGGATTTCTTCTTTATATCTTTCTGAATTTTCCAACATTTCTGTGATGAACATGTACTATTATTGTTGTTAGGGAAAGAAAGCAAGAGTAGACTCAGAATCCTGAGAAAAATTCTACCTGACCATTTCAAATCAGTACAAATTATATAAGAAATATATTAACATAATGTCGCAGAAGAAGACTCAAGTGATAACATATGCAAATCAGGACACACCCCGTCAGCACACCTGGTGTCCCACCCCTCCCCCCACACAAATTCCCTCTTGCGGTAAAACCACTAGCAGTTATTTGGTGTCCAATCTTGAGTGCCACATGTATTAATTAGGAGTTTTGTACCATATCCTGCCAGGCAAATATACATACTCACTGGGTTATGTTATTTCTTTGTTCTTTGATTATACCATTGACATTTTCTCTTTTCTGATATTGTTCACTTCAGTGCTCCAGAACCCGAAACTCAAGATGCCAGAATCCCAGTTGAGAAACTTCCCCGGTAGGTAAAAAACTTCAATCTGTATTTGGCATTCCAGGTTGCAAGAAAAGAAAATTAGGAGTGAAAATCTAAGTTCATTTGGTAAGATGCCTCTTAAGTTATTAAATGTAAAAATAAGCTCTGACCTAGAGGCCAAGGGCAACAGTACAGAGGATGAGCCGGGCCGGGGAAAGGGGACTGTGCTTTCCATCCCTGTTTGCCTTGTGTTGGGGCAGGACGACCCGAGGTCGGGAGCGTTTCTGAAGCTGTTGTGCTGCAGACGCTGATCCAGCACATAAAGCACAGAGGCCGGCGTCCTGTAACTGGCCAATAAACGTTAGTTACTGTCATCTTCATCGTCCTCCGCGTCGTCAGGGTTACTAATCCAGGTTTATGGAGATAGTAAAGAGTCTTGCAAAGATGAAATTATAGGAGTAAACATAATTTTTGTAGATTAAAAAATAACCTAGAAAGATTTTTTATGTCAGTTTTTCAAAACCAGATATTAAAATAGCACTTCCAAAAGTGTTTCAGAGAACACTAGATCCATGTGATGTTCATAGATGTTGCTAGAAAAAAAGATGTTATGTGCTCAAATCACACTGGATTAAACCAAGTTAAAGTACAAACTCGATTTTGCTGACCTTGATTTAATGGGCTTCGGATTTAATAGACAAAATTTTCGGTCCATATATCATATGTGGAAATTAATACCTTGTTAATTTTAAAATACTTTTAACCAAGATTTCCTTATAAATAAATTAACAAGTTGTTTTTCTGTTGTTATTAATTCACTGTTATTTTTAACAAATTTTAGCAAATAGACCATATGTTGGAAAAACACTGTAGTAATTTTGCCGACATAAATAAATATTACATATATACAACTGTAGTCTACATATTTAAATCCAAGAGTCACCGCTCATAAATGATGTTTGGCGAATGGTTAGCACGTGATCATGCCGCATCGTGCACAGTCATTGGTTCTGTTGCCTCGTGGTGTGAATTCTGCAGCGATTTTAACCGAGCAGGCGAGCAGGCGGATGTTTCCACATGTGCTAAGCCGTGTGCATTTGTTTACTTGTGCTGACTGGTGAATGCATGCATTTACTGGACCTATTCACTATAAATTTAAAGTTACTGTAATACATATAGAAAAGTTTCTGTGAAATTAAACTGTTCATACATAATTTTAATTATACAAATGTATTTATGTAAGTAAAAACAGGTAAACCAATTTGTCAATTTTTTTAACATACACATTCAGAAAACCTACTTTATTATATAACAGACTTTCAGCTTTAATGGACACCCCCTTGCCCAATTAGTCCATTATGTAGAGGTTTTACTATATGTTTGCTTTACTGTAGGACTTCTCAGACCATTTCATATACTAAAGTACAATGTTACTCTCTAAAAAGTGGTTGTAATATGTTAATATTTCACTGGTTTACTTAACCACACAACACTTTTCATTTTTCTTAATAAGGGTTTTTATTACTAAATGCTAAAGTGTCCATCTGAAAGAACAGGGAATCCTGAGTAGGACATTAATATGATGAAAATGATGTTTGGGGGAGGTCATTTTAGAAGGTCCATATAAAATGACTAAGAGATAGTAGGGAGGAAATGAGAGATTTTTACTAATCTCCACTGGAGAACTTGGCTGTAGGCAGGACCAGAGAGAGAGGAATCTCAGAGAAAATGAAAGGAGGTCACTAATGAGATTAGGGGATGGTTGGGGTGTTAGAGGCAAATCTGAGGCCAGTGTTCCTCCCCGGTCTAGGCAACTGGAAACAGTTGTGCCCATGAATGTGACGAAGTCACAGGGAAGGAGAAAACTGTTTAAGAAAGAGAAGGTCAAGCTTGGCTGAAACACGTGTCTGTCCAAATCAACCCAGTGCATCCAGACAAAATGAACACTTTATAAAGCAGTTAAAGTAAACTTCATATTCAGGACAAGCTCCTATGGGCCGGGAGGGCAGGGATGGTGATCAGAAGGATTAGAGGTGACCTATCTGGACGACTGGATTTGGGGCAGCGCCTGGTCTTCCTCTGATCCACCTGGACAGACCGTTGGGCAAGGCTCAGGATGAGTTAAGGATAATGTCCTTACAGGTGTGAAGAGGCAGGGTGCGGGGGCCTGCTGCGACCTTATGTGGTGTGGTTTGGAGAAAACCTGGACCCTGACATTCTGGAGGAGGTTGACAGAGAGCTGGCCCTCTGTGACTTATGTCTAGTGGTAAGTCATGTCCTTCCCTGATCGTGGGGATTTTCTGAAATACCAGGACCGGGGTGGAGATTGATGTTTCCTCCCTCCCCTTTTCCCTCGCTCCTTCCCTCCCTCTCTTCCTTCTCTAAATGTGCTTTGAGAGGTTGTGGTGTCTTACAGAAAAACTAAGAGATAGTGAATAAGAATTGATCTTAAAATATAAAACTATTCAAGACCATGTCTTGGGCTTCTCAAAGCCTTTCCTCCCTCCAAAAATATAAAAAAGCATGTTATTGGTTTAGAGTTTTAAAATAATACCTGCTCGTTATTAAATTTAATTGAGAAAACACTAAAAGAGGACATTAGAAATCACCAATAATTCTACCATCCAAAAATAATCAGTGTTAGCATTTTAGTATATTTTCTTCTAGATCAAGGATGAGCAGACTGTGGCCTATGGGCCAAATCTGACCTGCCACCTGTTTTTGTAAATAAAGTTTTATTGGAACACAGCCATGCCTGTTCTGTGTATAGTCCAAGGGTGCTTTCACAATGGCAGAGTTGAATGTTTGCGACAGAGACCTTACGGCCTGTAAAACCTAAAATACACCATTTGGCCTTTTATAGAAAAAGTTTGCACACCCCTGGTCTAGACCTTCCCTTATGCAGATGTGCACATATTGATTAAAAATTTTAAAAAATGGGTTCATATTTCAGCGCCCTAATTGGAAAGAATATCTGCACCCCTATGTTCATTGCAGCATTATTTACAATAGCCAAGATTTGGAAGCAGCCCAAGTGCCCATCAATAAGCGCATGGATAAAAAAGATGTGGTACAGCCCTGGCTGGTGTGGCTCAGTGGTGAGAGTGTTGGCCCTCGGACCAAAGGGTTGTGGGTTTGATTCCCGGTCAAGGGCATGTGCCTGGGTTGCAGTTCGATCCTGGGCCTGGCTGTAGCAAGTGCGGGAGGCAACCAATCGATGTATTTCTCTGACATGGATGTTTCTTTTTCTCTCACCCCTCCATCTCTTCCACTCTTAAAAAAAAAAAAATCAATGGAAAAAATATCCTCAGGTGAGGATTAAAAAAAAAAGATGTGTGTGTGTGTATATATATATATGTATATATATATATATACACACACACACACACACACACACAATAGATTACTATTCATCCATAAAAAGAATGAAATCTTACTGTTTATGACAGCATGGATGGACCTAGAGGGTATTGTGCTAAGTGAAATAAGTCAATTAGAGAATACCACAAGTTCACTTATATGTGGAGTCTGAAGAACAAAATAAACAAATAAACAAAATTGAAATAGACTCAGACTGCTGGTTGCCAGCGAGGAGGGGTGTTGGGAGACTGGGTGAAAAGGGTGAAGGGATTGAGAAGTACTAATTGGTAGTCACAGAGTAATCACAGGGATGTGAAGGACAGCGTAGGGAATATAGTCAGTCATATTGTAGTAACCATGTATGGTGCAGGGTGGGTACTGGACATAGGGGGAGCACTTCATAATATATATGATTGTTTAACCACTATACTGTACACCTAAAACCAATATAAAATAATATTGAAGTAAACTGTAATTTAAAATGTTTTTAAAATAAAGTTGAAAAATGGGTTCACATTTGTTCTGTTTTGAAACCATTTTATTCATGGAGCAATTCACTTAGCATATTCCAGTTCAGCACATCCAAACACACATCGTTTTTTAATTGGCTGTGTGGTGCTCTGGTGTATGTTTTTAACCAAACCTCTACTGTGGGACATTCAGGCTGTTTCAAATTTTGATATTTTAAACAATGCTATTTTGAATAGCCTCAGATATAACTCTTTATAAAAAATATTTTTATTGATTGGTTTTTAGAGAGAGAGACATCGATTTGTTGTTCCACTTAGTTGTGCATTAATTGGTTGCTTCTCGTATGTGCCCTGATGGGGGATCAAACCTGCAACCTTGGAATATTGGCACGATGCTGTAACCAAATGAGCTACCTGGCCAGGGCCTCAGACATAACTCTTAAGATGTTCAACAAATTATTGCCTTAGGACAAATTTCCTAGAAGTGGAATTAATGGACAAAGGGTGGGCATATTTCAAATTTTCCATAACATATCTGTAAAAGCGGAGGCACTTTCAGCCAGTATTTACTGAGTGCATCCCAGTGTTGAGGATGGGGTCACTGCTAGCTGGCGAGGTGAGGAAAGCTGGCTTGTGAAATAGATTCCGGTCGTCCCATTCTCCCCGCCCCCAGCAGTCCCTCAGTACTTGAGTTCTGGCTAAGACAGAATTCAGGGGCAAGATTCAAATACAAGAGAAAGTTTATTAGAAAGTCACAGAGGTAGAAGTGAGCTGTGCAAGAAATGAGCCAGCTGGTCTTCCCATTCTTGTAAAGTGTGTTCATAAACCTATATCCATAGGGAAAAACCTGAAAGAATATACATCAAAATGTGAACAGTGGTTATCTTGGGTAGTAGGATTATGAATGACACGTATTTGTTTTTCCTTTGAATTCGCTAACTTAAAAAATAAAATAAAAAGATCATGGATTATTTGCATCACTTTGAAGAGCAGAAACAAAAATAAAACTACCCCAAAAGGTGGTGAATCATTTTGTTACCACTCTCTCTGTTTGCACAACTCATCTTTCTGAATTCCAGTGATCAGTCAAAAAGACACCTCCTGACTTCCCGTTTGTCCCTTAAACACTCTCCATTTATCCCATCCAGCTTAGTTTTCCCCACACCTGCAACCACAAACCTACCTCGGTTTATGTGAGATTTTCTGAAATGTTTCTTCTCTGCATAGTGTGGTCATTTGTCTGTTTCCATCTGTTTGCTTTGCAGGTAGGAACTTCCTCCGTGGTTTATCCTGCTGCCATGTTTGCCCCCCAGGTATCTGCCAGGGGAGTTCCAGTGGCCGAATTTAACATGGAAACCACCCCAGCCACGAACAGATTCAGGTACAGGGATTACCAGGGTGGGAGATGGAAGGTATTGAGCAAGTTTGGACATGGTCATCTACAGACATTTTACCTGGTGTTCTAATTTAAAAACACACACACACACGCACGCACGCACACACACACAAACACACACACACACACACACACACTGAGCCCTGGCCAGTTTGGCTCGGCGGTTAGAGCATCGACCCGCAGACCAAAGAGTCTTGGGTCCGATGCCGGTCAAGGGCATGTACCTCGGCTGCAGTTTGCAGTTTGGTCCCAGCCCTGGTCAGGCAGGAGGCAACCAGTCGATGTGTCTCCCTCACATCGATGTTTCTCTCTCTTTCCCTCCCCTCTTCCCTCCCATTCTGTCTGAAGATAAATGGAAAAATATCCTCAGGTAAGGATTAAAAAAAAGAAAAAAGACACACTGAGTTTGTGTTTTATTGGTCTGTCGTTGCTTTTATGGAAGAACAAAATATCGTTAACTGTAGATTAAGGTGCTGTTTTTACAAGGGGTTTGCCATAGGACTCCTCCCCCCTCCCATTTTGAAAGCTCTTCTTGCTTTCATTTGTCTTTTTAAGCTAGAGTTAGTGACGGCAGGCATTTAGATGTAGGTGAGCCGAGGAGTGCTGGGCGGTCCGCCGCGGAGGCCCACGTACAGAACTGCAGCACACCGCTCGGAGTGAGGCCGCCTGGCGGATTCTCTGGTCTGATGGCCACGAGTGTTTGTACTTGTGGCCACATTATGATACTGATTCTGCTTCCCACATCTGTATGGAAAAAGTAAATCATCACAGTATGCATTTTTAGTCTCTTTCACTGTCTTTGCCTTTGTTTTCCTTTGTTTTTTTCATCCCTGATTTTTTTCGTCTTCACTTTTAATTTAATTTATGTATTATTGTCAGTCTGCTTAATTCCTTTCTAGAATAAGATAGAATACAAATAACTATAGCAAATAAATGTAAATACATAAATTGTAAAACACCACTGAAACTCTCATCAGTCCTTGAATCAGTGGTTTCCAAACTCAGCTGCGTATTTTAGAATACTGATGAGTGGGCACCACCATGACACCTGACATAATGTGTCTGAGGTAGAGCCTGGGCATCATGACTTCTATAAGCTTCCCAGGTGTTCCTAACGTGCAGCCAGGATGAGAACCTCCTTCTAAGTCTCTGCTGGGATAAAAAAGGTGCCACAGACTGCGCCGAAGCACACTTTAGTATGATCCTCCGGTGAGTCAGCTGGCTCTCGTCCCGGTCTTCTCCAGGTGGTTTTCATCAGCCACAGCCTGCGTGTGTCCTCAATCCATTGTTCTTCGTTTGTGTGTTAGTGGTAGGAACTAGAAAGACATTCTTTCAAAAATTGCTCTCTGTGTAAAACTTATACTGTGAAAACTACGGAATGTTGTTGAAAGAAATAAAGAAAACCTAACTATATGGAAAGACATCCGTGTATATAGCTTGGACAACTTAATATTATGAAGGTGGCGATACTCCCTAGTCTGCAGATTCACCCAGTCTTTCAGATTGCCTCTAGCATCTTTGCTGAAACTGACAAGGTGATCCTCCTAAAATTTATATGAAAATGCAAGGGACCCAAATAGCCAAAACAGAAAGAAGAATGAAGTCAGAGAACTCACACTTCTCAATTTCAAAACTGAGTACAAAGTTACAGTTTTCAAGACAGTGTGGTGCTAGCATGAGAATAGACACATAGATCAGTGGAATAGAATTGATAGCCCAGAAAAAAATGCTTACATTTATGGTCAACTGACTTTTGAAAAAGTATGAAGATAAAGCAGTGATGGAAAGAACAGTCTTTTTAACAAATGGTGCTGGAACAGCTGGAACAGCTGGATAGCCACGTGCACAAGAATGAAATTGGACCCTTCACACTATATACAAAAAATAACTCAAGTGGATCATAGGCCTAAATATAAGAGCTGAAAATATAAAATTCTTAAAATGCAGGAATAAATCTTTGTGACCTTGAGTTTGTCAAAGCCCTTTGATATGACATCAAAATCACAGGTAACATAAGAAAATGGATAAATGATCACTTCTTGGCCTTTTGGATAAATTGGACTTTATCAAACTTAAAAATGTATTGTCCTAGCCAGTTGTTCAGTGGTTAGAGCATCAAGGACCAAAGAGTTGTGGGTTTGATTCTGGTCAAAGGCATGCACCTCAGTTGTGGTTGGTCCCCGGCCCTGGTCAGGCTGGTGTGGGAGGCAACCAATCGATGTGTCTCTCTCACATCAATGTTTCTCTCTTTCTCTCTACTCCTCCCACTCTATCTGAAGATAAATGGAAAAATATCCTCCAGTGAGGATTCAAGAAAGAAAATTAAACCCCAAAACTTCTTTACTTCAATGGGCACCATCAACAAAGTGAACAAGACAACCCACAGAATGGGAGAAAATATTTGCAAGTCTAATATTTGAGAAGGAACTTGTATCCAGAATATGTAAAGAACTCTCACAACTCAATAATAAAAAGACAACCCAATTAAAAAGTGGGTGAAAGATTCAAATAGACAATTATCCAAATATATACATATGGTCAATAAGCACATTGAAGAAAGGTTGAACATCATTAATCATTAGGGCAATGTAAATTAAAACCACAACAAAATACCACTTAACAATCTCTAGTATGGCTCTGCAGTAGTCTCTTTTCATCCATGGCGGACACATTCCAAGACCTCAGTGGACGCCTGAAACCACAGATGGTACCGAACCCTGTATATACTGTTTTTCCTATACATACACATCTATGATAAAGTTCAATTTATAAAATAGGCACAGTAAGAGATTAACAACAATAACCAATACTAAAATAGAACACTTAAGACACTATATTGTAATAAAAGGTATGTGAATGGGGTCTCAGTATCCTATGGTACTGTACTGACTGTTCTTGTGGTGCTGTGAGGGGCCGCAATGCCTTCGCGATGAGCTGCAGTGAGGCACTCAGAATGGCATGCCATTTAAAACATGAAGTATTTATTTCTAGAATTTTTCCATTTAATATATTTAAAGTGATGTTGACTCACAGAAAGTGAAACCATGGATAAGGGGGACTACTGTGATTTAAAAAATGGAAAATAAGTGTTGGTGCAGAAATGGGATTTCATACATCGCTGGTGGGAATGTACAGTGGTGCAGCTTTCTTGGAAAAAAGTCTGGTAGGTCCTCAAAAGGTTAAATAGAGAGTCAACATATGACTCAGCAATTCTACTCCTAGGTATATAGCTAAGAAAAATGAAACATGTTTATACAAAAATGCATACATGGATGTCCATTTCAGCATTGCTCATAATAGAAAAGTGGAAACAACCCGAATGTCCTTCAGCTTATGAATGGATAAACAAAATTTGGTGTATAGATACAATGGAGTATTATTCAGCCATGAAAATAATGTACTGATACATGCTATAACATGGATGACCCTTGGAAACATACTGAGTGAAAGAAGCCACACACACAAGACAACACATTGTACGATCCCATTTATATGAAATCTCCACATCAGATAGAGACCAAGGTAGATTAGTGGTTGTCTAGGGTTGGGGCAAGGGGTAATGGACAGTGACTGCTAATGGGTTCAGAGACATTTTTGGGGTGATGATAATGTTCTAAAGTTGACTGTGGTGATCAACTCTGTGAATATACTAAAAAAATTAAATTATATATTTTAAATGAACAGATTATGTGTGAATTATATCTCAGCAGAGCTGTTAAAAATTAAATTGTCTTCTAACTTATCCACTGAAGCATGGACCTTTGGCCTCGAATGTGCATGTGTCACATGTGTGTGACACCTGGGCTGGTTAGCCCCCTTTAGCGCAGCATCAGAGCCATGTACCTGAAGCCTCTTGTCTGCTTGAAAGAACATCAGAGTACCCAAGAAGAGGATGGGCCCTGGCTGGTTTGGCTCAGTGGGTAGAGCGTCAGCCTGTGGTCCAGAGAGACCCGGGTTCAGTTCCCACTAAGGGCACGTACCTCGGTTGCAGTTTGCCCCCGGCCCTGGTCGGGTTGTGCGGGTGGCAGTCACTTGATGTGTCCCTTCTCGTCAATGTTTCTCTCTCTCTCTCTCCTCTCTCTCTCCCTGCCACTCTGTCTGAACAAAAAATGGAAAAATGTCCTCGGGTGAGGATAAAAAAAAAAAGAAGAGGATGGGATAAACTTTCTGGAGAGGGAAATGAGCTACATCTCAAGTTCATTCATCTAATGTGGTTTATTTTCAGTCATTTGGTCTCCAGCTCATCTCAAATAAGTATAAAGAATTAGAACAAACCATTATTATATAAAAGTAAGAAATGCAGAGAGGGAAAATGAAGAAAAAACTCAAGTGTTTCCACAACCCAAGATCTGCGTTGGCCTACCTCTCATGTCTGTACTGACCAGTTAGTTCTGGGACTCCATCATGTATGTTTTCATGCGAAAGGAAAGTGAACTTGGGGGTTTTTCCTACAAGTTCAGAAGACATTCTTGTAATGACATCACTTCATAAGTCGGGCCTCCTAAAACCACAGACCTGCTTCAGCTACCGCTCTTCTTCAACCCAAATTCTCCAGATTCATGTCCTGAAAACCTGCGCCGTCTCTGTTCAAACAGGCTACTTGCTAGTTAGAAACACGGACCAAGTTTGACAAACTACCCATTGACCAGCACCTACTAAAAGAACCACCATCTGTGTGTGGGCGTCTTTGGGGAGCTGAGGCTATCTGTACCACCCAGTCTGGGCATTTTCCCAGATGAGATAACTGACCAGTGATGCCCGCAGTGCTTTCATCTGGGAGTCATCGAAGCCGACTGGAAGAGATGATGGTTATCATCTCATCCTACTCAAATTCGCAAATGGGGAACCAAGCCTAGAGCCACTGAATGGTTTGTTTAAACCCCACAGCTGAACAATGGCAGAATTTTCCTTACACCTCATACACAACAGATTTGGGTTGAACTTTACTCCAGGTCAGGGCCAGCAAACTACTGCCTGTAGGCCAC